TAACAAGACAAGTGCAAGGTGGAATTACCAGCCTTGTGCATCAAAGTTCAGTGGGTACTCAAGGTACCCAAAGCAATGCTTACACTAAGGTGGCTGACCCTAAACTTCTAAGAGTAGTGAGATAGTGATGGAGTTTCACAAGATTGAATTGAAAAGCAGTTTGAAACAGAAGATAAAATGTCAGGTAAGCACAAGCAGGGGCAGAGAAGAAGGGGGCAAGTAATTCATGAGTGAGAACGCAGTTACACAAACATCAAAGAGAAGCACTTCAGCACTTAAACAATCAGGCAGGTTTCAACCAAAGAGGTCAGAACTTCATGCTGATAACTACACTGGGGTTAGGGGATAAGGAAAGACATGCATGAGACATATAAGGGGAGTAATGGGCATGCCAGATTAAGATAGTCATGTTAATCAACATAGAAGCATGCTAATTGCAGCAAGAACAACAAAAGCATAAGTAGAAACATACGAGAAACAAAAGGAAGTGCAATACCCATAGAAAACATATTGCTTTGAAGCTGTAAATCAAATAGGAGACATACCAGTTGAAGGCAAAGTAATGCAGGACAGTAGTGAGTTATAATATGCAAAGTGGTGAAGTGAGCAGCAATATAGAGAGTGTGAAGCGATAGTAGTGAAGTGAGCAACAATATAGAGAGAGCAATGGAACAATGAAGTAGCCTGAAACTCAGCCTGAGTTTCAAGCTAGTTGAGCAGCCAGTAGTCACAAGGGGAGAGAGATTGTGTGAAACAAAGAGAGAGTACTGAATTACTTCTTTTGTGTAAGAGAGAGTTCAGAAAATGATTCCGTCCTCCTATGCTAAAGAGAGGGTAGAGTATATATAGTCTTCAAATAAGTGAAAAATAAGGTAACACATATAGACTGATTATAATTATAGAAAGAAAACCTATTAGAATCAATTAAAACTCAAATTGCCTTCAATTAGGGAGTCACAGCTCAAACGGTAAAGAAAAATGCATCAAATAAGGAAGGTACAACATAATTACAAGTAAGGAAAGTAAATAAGCATATAGTGTGCATATAAACAGACTGATTTTGAAAGCAATTAGTTAAGGAAAATCACGGGTGAGATGGAAAATCACAGGGAATCATCCTTAAGTAAGGAAAGCATCTCACAATCAAGGAAACAATTCAAATCAGTGGAGCATCTCCAAGGAAATCATATACGGATAATCAGGGATTCAAAGAGATGCACAGAATTATTTAGAATAACAATTAGACCTATAAACACAATAGGTGTGAAAATCAGAGAACACTAAGCGAGAAGATCACAGTTTCAACACAAGACAGGAGCCCTAATAGAAACTTAAAGCATGGAACTCGGATTAACCAGAAAACCACACAAACAAGCTCATAACACAAACATAAACAAATAATACAGGCATAAGCACATAATACTCAAAAAGAAGCAGAAGATATAGTGATTTTTGAAAGGGGTTCGGAAACCCTAGCTTTTGAGAAAAGAACAAAACGTTTAAAATTTGAGAATCAGGCATAAGGTAGTGTAAAACACAAAAGGATAAGCTAAAAATGCTTTAAAAAGATAGAGATCGAGAGACTTAGGAGGAAATTAGGGTTTTTTTGCAATAAATCGGTGAGGTAAGGAACCTGGTTGTGAAACTCGTTAATAATGGCGTTCATAGTGCCATCGGACTGAAAACCATCGGAGAAAAGGTCGGAGTTAAGCCAAGCAAGGCTTCCAGTGACCATCTTGCATGGTGGAAGTCTCTGGAGCCTCAAAACTTAGAGAAGATCAGCGAGACACAGCTCCATGGCGACTGGTGGTCGAGAGAAGTGAGGACGGAGCATGGCCTGAGAGGCGATGAAGCTCGTCGGAGAAGGAGGAGACGAAGAGACCAAGAGAGAGACCGATCTCTATGAGAAATGAGGAGTCAAGGGGGGGTCATTTGATTTAATTTGGGAAATAGAATCTGAGTCGTTGATCTCATTTGATCAACGGCTCAGATCAGATCAAGGCTGGATCAGGTGAATCAATTGGGTATGGGTTGGGTAATCTAGGAATACGGGTTGGGGTTGAAATTGAGGGTGCAATTTGGGCTACAATTGAAATAAAAAGGGACTGCAATTTAAATAGCCAATTTTCCCCGTTTTCATTTTATAAAAATAGTAAATAGTGTTTAAAAATCAAATTAAAAAATATTGATTAATAATAAATGCATAAGTATTAATTTAAAAATATTAGAAATGATTTTGTGATTACGAATGCTATTAAATCGAGAAATAGGCTAAAATTGCAATTTCATGCAATTTTAGTTTAAAAATACCAAATGGACTTGTAAAATTATGCAAAAATCATGTAAATTATATTTTGTATAAATACGAGAATAAAATAAATTATTCGCCAAAATGACAAGTTTTGGGAATAATTATTGGTTTTTATAGTGCAAAATAGGCCATAAATTGGTTTTAAAAATCTTTAAAAATTTGGGAAAATACCAAACCCTTTGGGCGTGCTTGTATATGCATACATATGCTATTTTGATAGTATTTTGAGTATAAAAATACATAGGAAAAAGTTGGGTATCAACACCAGCTCGTCACTACTTTCAATCTAAGGTAAGGTTTGTTACTTATTGAGTACATGGGGTCGGTTGTACTCATACTACACTTATGTACCTTGCGGGCAGATATTGGATGATGAGGTTGCTACGTACGGCGGGAGATGGATCAGAAGATGTACCTGCGTTCTAGTCACAACTGCCTCTTGTTCTTCGTAGCTTTAGAATTATTAATCTGTTCATATATATTTCAAATAGATGATGTATTTTTATTTCACACCAGCATTGTAAATTCTAAATCTTAGACGCTCATGATTTGTACTACCAGTCCTTGAAGAATTTTATAAAATTTGGTTATCTCATTTTTGACTCAAATCAGTATTATTATATTATGTTTATTGTTAGTTGGCTTACATAGTGGGTGGGGTTAGGTGCCATCACGGTGGTTTAGATTTTGGGTCGTGAAAGCGCCTTTTGGCTGCCTCATTAAAAATATTACAAGGAAAACCCAGTGGGACGAAGGCTTGTAAGGGAAAAAGAGTACAACTCATATTAACTCCCCCGGATGGGAGCATCAATTCACATCCTTGAGCCTTTGCATCATAATCTTGTACACCAGCTTCTTGAAGGTTGATGTCGGTAGAGATTTGTTGAATAAATCAGCCATATTATCACTTGAACAAATCTGTTGCACATTGATATCACCATTCTTTTGAAGCTCATGTGTGAAAACTAACTTCGGTGAAATTTGCTTTGTTCTATCTCATTTTATGAATCCTCTCTTCAATTGGGCTATGCATGTTGCATTATCTTCATAAAAAATCGTGGGTAGTTTGTCACATTTCAAACCATATTTGTCTCGAATAAGATGTATCATATACCTCAATCACACACATTCTCGACTTGCTTCATGAATAGAAATTATCTCAGCATGATTAGATGAAGTAGCCACGATTGATTGCTTAGTCGATCACTAAGATATGGCAGTGGCTCCATAGGTAAACACATAGCCTATTTGAGATTGAGCCTTGTGTGGGTCGGATATGTCACACCTCCTTTTTCCAAGGAATAGGGAATTTTTTCAATTAAAGAGATATTATTCGTAATGGAATTATTTATTTAATTAGAGTCGCCACTTGGAATATTTATTATGATGTTCCAAGTCAATGGTTTGTTTTATATCCCAAATCGAGGAAATTGACTCTGTTTTAAAGTCGCAGAAGATCAGGTAAGGAATTCTGTTAATCTGGGAGAATGTATTAGGCATTCCCGAATTTCGTAGTTTTTGCATGGTCTCTTTAATCATATCTCGCTTAATTAGTTATTAATTACTCCCTCCATTCCAGTTTATGTGAACCTATTTTCTTTTTGGCCTGTTTCAAAAAGAATAATCTCTTTCTAAATTTGGTAACACTTTAGCTTAAACTTATGCTTCTACCCTTAGTGAGAAGCTTTTATAACCACACAAATACTCTGGGCCCCTTTTTGACTTGTTTAGGACCACAAATTCCAAAAGTCTTCATTTTTTCTTAAACTCCGTGCCCAGTCAAACAGGTTCACATAAATTGGAACAGATGGAGTACGTATTTTAGAACCTACATGTGTTTTACCTTTTACTGTTCTTTATTAAGGCGTTATGGATTTATCTTTGAAACGGATCACATGGGCGTAAATCCGTTTTGTTTATTGTGCCAAAATTATGTCACGTGTACATGTACACAATTAATATCACTATATTAATCATTAAGATCGTTTGGCCAAAGCCGTACGAATGCATACTTTGATTTATTTGGAGGATCGTAGTTATGTCAAGCGAACGTGTACATTATCACGATAGAATATTTAGAACGCGCCTAAAGCATCTTACGCATATTCAAGAGTTGTTTGTTCTAAACTAAATTTGTAATTGATGTAGAAGTTCTAATTTTACAAAGTTGGGCTGGCAGGTATATCGATATAACCCCCAAAAAAGATTCATGCTAGTACTATAACTTTTGATGCACGAAATTTTTTTTTGATGAAAGGTTGGATCTAACGACTTATCTAAAGTTATAAGAACCATCTAAAATTATCAATTGCAATTAAGTTGGGTACTGAAACACTTTCTAGAAAGAAAATCCTCTTGCTTTGATTTTTATCGTTGCTAAAGCTGAATAATGGTGTTACGAGCCATGTTAGATTGACAATCCATATTGGACCTTTAGCGTATCAAGTATGAAACGCAAATGGGCTTGAGCTGAAGTCCAAAGCATGAGAAAGCATTTCTGAGATAGCATGACAACTTGTGTACAAACTGCTAAATAGGCTCAAAAGGACCGGGCCCAAAAGTGAGTGAGTCCAAATGACTCCAAACCCATGCACCAATTTAACCTTACCCTAACCATTTCGAGTTAAGATTTTGGGCTTCCGAATGTGCCCAGCACACACAATTTCAGCAAATCACATTTGTAGTACTGTAAAAAAACTTAATTTGGTATAGGAATTTTAAACTAATAGCTACATATCCATATGAATCAATGATTGGAGACAATATTAATATCCCTCCCCCTGATGATTATCACAACATAATCAGTTGTAGTGGAACTAAGAAGGAACAACGAAATAATAGTAAAAATGAATTATTATAACATTGTTCATCCTAATAAAATCAATACTACAACTTCTTTTACAGCTTAATCTGACTTTACCACACGTAAACATAATTACTCCAAGCTCGAAAACTCCTGGGTTGAATATCAACAATTATCATGGAAGACATTTGTTATCAGAAATGAGTAGGCTACTGCAATTTTAGCATGTTATATGGAATTTTAGGCATACAATGAGTAGGAAAATTAAAAAATAACACAGTATATTCAACTTATCACTCAAAAATAGATTTCAAACAATAATCAAACAAACACAACTTGAGGGATATCAAATAAATTAGCAACAATGAAAATCAAAGCAATTAACAACTTTGTGCTTCAAATAAACCACATTTCCATTATTTGATCGAGAATGGTACCTGGCTTACAACATAATAGACAAAAAGAAAATAAATCTCTGAAGTTGGGAAGGAGTAACATGAAGAACAAACATAGTAGCAGAAAACAACATACAACAGCTTTAAACCTTACTCCCAAAACTCCAAAATAGAACCAATGGAACTATGTTGATGAATTCTGATTCCTACTTTCAGAATATTTTTTGTGAGAAGAAACAAGTGAGGGTGAGTGTTGATTCTCTGATAATATAGAAAAAATAAAAGTGTATGCAGATTGAGAGTAATGAAAAATTCTCCGAAGAAATGTCAAAATCTGTGTGTGTGTTGTGTAGAGAGTCAAGGAATATATAGGAGACTGTCAACCGTAAAAATAGAACAAAAATATCTTTTTCAATCGATTTTTATACAAATGTCACTTTTTAGTTATTCTTTCATCCTTTTTAAACCTTAGTATTTTTTGTATTCACTCTTCAGCCCTAACACCTGGCCACCTTATTTTCTTTCTTTGCAAATTGGCCCCTCCTAGAAGCTTCCTAAATAACTAAACAAGATTCCCTACTTTTGGTATACCCTTTAGCCCCTTCAATTCCTGTATTTACTATTTATTTCAGATTTAAAACCTAAAAGCAGACTAAGACTTAGATCCTAGTTAAAACGAGCAAATGTTAAACATAACTGATTAAGAAATTACTAATTAATTAAGACAGAACATTGGCATTTAATTAATTTCTAAGAAAACAAAATGCGATTTAAACTACCAATTTTGCCTAAACATCATGATTAAGGACTAACAAAATCACTGATAACCTACCTCTAAATAAATTTGAGTCTTGACCAAATGAATTTCAAAATACAAATACAACTTGCCAATATTAACAATTTAAATCAATCAACCAAATGAGTTCAATCGAAGAAATTAATCCTAAGTAAAACCTAAACAAAGTGATAGATCCACGAAAAACAAAAATTTCTAACCTAATGCAAATATCTCAAAAGTGGGGAGAGGATGAAAAAGAGATTACCTATTGAAGCTCTATTAATATGGTAGAGAAAACCTTCCAGAAGAATTGGCCGGCCAACAGCCAGCTAACTAAAACGTGACTTCCGAGAAATGGGATGAAACTCACATCAGTGGACATCTCTTGTAAAGAGCTTTCTGCTAATGTGAGTCTCAACCATAAAAGAGGACGGATTGTTTGAGGTCATGAAGACAGATTGCATGGCAGCTAGGGTTTGGTTTTGAGATTTGAAATTTGAGAGATTAAGTGAGTTTTTAGCAAAAATTAACAGTGGGATAGTCATGGGGAGATGATAGAGAGATTGTATGGTGGGAGTTTGGGTGGATTTGGGGTTGTGCACTGGTAGGGGTGGTGGTAGGCAGCTAGGGTTTGAAAGGATTTGACAAAAGAGGAAATTAAGGGCTTCTATAGGGTTAGGGGTATTCGGACAGATATAAGGGAAGGGGGAGGTCAGTTCTGGACCGTAGGATCAGATTAGATGAATGGCCATGATCATCTGTGACCAAAACGGCGTCATGTGGATTTGGAAGGGGTCTAGGCCAGGTAATGGGAGTGGGTTGGACGGGTTTGAGGGAATTTGGGCCGCCTGAAGCTGGTCTAATTTCGGAATCTTAAGAAAACAAGCCCCATTGCTCTTCATTTAACTTTAAATGACCGAATTGACAATTAAACTAATTTAAATAAAAAATTTAACTATTTAATTACCAACATGCCAAAGAAATTAGCTAAATTATTTTTGTAATTTTCATTTATTAACCATGCAATTAATATGTGATTAAATCCTAAAAATGCAATAAAATCTAAAATACAACAAGTGAAAGATTAAAAAAATATTTTTTGATGATTTTTTAGGATTTTAAAATATCTCTAAATATGAATACAACTAAATGCAAATAATGTAAACACACAAATAAAGAGGAATTTCTAAAAATTCTAAGAATCAAAAGACACCAAAAAAAAAGAATTATTTATTTTTTGGATTTTTAAGAGTAATTGGAAGAAAAAGTCAAATGCCCATAAAGGCAAAATAAAGTTGAAAAAGGTTAAGTCCTACACGACCAAACGTCATGGCAAAGTTTAGAGAAGACAAAGGTTCTCCGGGGCCAAAACTGCAATCAGTATCCAGGAAACAACCAGTTGCAGTCGAAAGTATCATCAAAGAAGCCGGGACAAGATCAAGTGACTGAAGCATTCAAGGCCACAAACCAACCACTGTTTTTAAACTGACAAAATGTTCTTTGTTTGAAAAACAGGAAACAAGTGCAATCCAAAGCAACCTTGCAAGAAGCAGGTGCAACCAAAAGAAGCGGCACAGAGACTAAAATAACTCTACAGCAGAAACAACTCCAAAAAAGGAAGTCTTCTCCAAATTCTTTTCAGTATTTTACTCATTCTCTTAATGGAAAAAAGAAAGAAAAGAAAAGAAAGAAGTTTAAAATCATGTTAGTATAGGGTCTCCAATCCTTAGTTGCATTTTCTAACATAGGGTCTCCACTCCCTAGTTAATTTTATTTTTAGCTATAGGGTCTCCACTCCCTAGTCTTCTTTTCTAACATATGGTCCCCACTCCTTAGTTGATGTTATTTTAGATATAGGGTATCCACTCCCTAGTCTTCTTTTCGATCATAGAGTTTCCACTTCCTAATTGACGTTATTTTAGACATAGGGTCTCCACTTCCTAGTCTTCTGTTCCAACATAGGGACTTCACTCCCTAGTTGATTTTATTTTTTGACATAGGGTCTCCACTCCCAAATTGATGTTATTTTAGACATAGGTTCTCCACTCCCTAGTCTCCCTTTCCAACATAGGGTCTCCACTCCCTCGTTGATATTATTTTAGACATAGGGTCTCTACTCCCTAGTCTCCTTTTCCAACATAGGATCTTCACTCCCTAGTTGATGTTATTTAAGACATAGGGTCTCCATTCCCTAGTCTTCTTTCCAAAATAGGGTCTCCATTCCCTAGTTGATGTTATTTTAGATATATGGTCTCCACTCCCTAGTCTCCTTACCAGTGTATGGTACACCAATCCCTAGCTGTGTTTTCCAACTTAAGGTACATGAATCCCTAGTTGAGGCACCATTTTGGCAATCGGGGTACTACATTTCCAAATAATCATGTTTTCCCAAGGCACACCAATCCCGACCTTTTATTGCTTTCAATAATAAAGTTGTATAGAGTTTTGTTACAAATAACTCAAGAAATTTTTCTAGTGAAAACTGGGGAAGAAAATTTTTATTCATTTGTTTGTTTTGGGTCTGAGCAGGTTTTACTTCGAGGCATGTGGTTTCAGACAACTAGAAGAAGAAGCCTCAATCCAGAATAAATGAAAAGAACAAAAAGGAGTAAATCCAAAATGCAGAAGTAGATTAAAAGATGTGGACAACTCAAGACATGACTGAAGTCGTGAACATTGCATTTCCAATTTTGATCAGAAAAATCCTTAGAAGAATGAACTAACACATACAATTAGCAAGCATCAAGGTTCAGATCAGAGTCTGCATGAAGAACCGGTCAAGACTCAAGATGAAGTTTCAGAAGACCTACAGATATGAATCTTGTAACTCATGGCTGATAGCTTGTTTAGCTTCTCTCCATTTCCGATTTTTGTGTAATAAGGAGTTCAGCAAGCAGCAACAGTAGCAACAACGGTGAAATCACAACCTCTCGGTATTCCCAGCTACCAAAATTTCCAGAACTACACTGACCTGATTTCTTTATAGCCAAGGATATGTAGGCAACCTTCGGAGTAAGGTTCAGTCAAACCTTTTCAAAATGCTTCCAAATGAAGTATCAAACAGGCAAAAATTGTTCATGATTGCTCACTTTATCTTTGTCTGAAAACTCTTCATGTTCTCGAGCAAAGAGGGACAGCTGTGAGCACAGATTGATTGAAAACAATTGAAAAGTACTTGGGTAAAAAGAATTTGAATTGAATTACAACTTTGGAACCTTCAGGCGAAACCATCGTCGAACCATTATAACGTCTGAAATAGTTTCAACTTTTGGGGGAATATGAATTTTTGTTTTGGTGTGACTGAAGCCAGAGAGAGGCTGCCTACGTATCCTTTGGGAATCAAGTCGAACGTAGTTCAAGGAACTTTGTTTTGATTTTCTTTTCTTTTGTTTCCTTTTCTTTTAATTTTTTCATTCATTATTTTTTTTTTTTGAATTTAATAATAACTTCCAAGTTCTAAAGAGGGTAATCAAAGAAAGGGAACCGGCTCAACGGGTTTGCAAAGTTTGATAGTGTTTGGATAGCGAGAAAGAAAGCCTTCGTCATCCCAATCGGATCTTATTAAAGCTATGCAAAAATGGTTAAACGTAATACCTTTTTACCGTATCTACAGTGACAGCTATCTCGGGGTCATGATTTCCTTTGATCTCTCCCAAATACAACGCTCCCTACAGCAACACTCTTCTTATAATGTACGGACCTTTCCAAATTGGAACAAATTTTCCTTTGGCTTCTTCGTGATGTGGGAGAATACGTCTCAGAACGAGTTGACCCACTTCAAATTTTCTGGGCCGCACTTTCTTGTTGTAGGCACGGGCCATTCTTTGTTGGTACAACTGCCCATGGAAAACTGTGGCCATCTATTTTTCATCAATCGTAGTCAATTATTCCCACCGGGTTTTGACCCATTCATCATCCTCGATCTCGACTTCAACAATGATACGAAGAGAAGGAATCTCAACTTCTGCAGGTATCACGGCCTCAGTGCCATAAACCAGTAAGTAGGGTGTGGCCCCAACTAATGTGCGCACGATTGTGCGATATACCAATAGTGCAAAAGGCAACTTTTCATGCCATTTTCTAGAACCCTGCACCATTTTCCTGAAGATCTTCTTGATGTTCTTGTTTGCGGCTTCAACGGGCCATTAGCTTTGGGCCGATAAGGAGTAGAATTGCGATGATTAATTTTAAATCGTTCGTGTACTTCCCTCATCAAGTGGCTGTTTTGATTTGCAACATTATCTGTAATTATAGTTTTAGGAATACCATAACGACAAATAATGTTAGAATGCATGAAGTCCACCACTGTTTTCTTGGTGACGGCTTTGAAAGTGACCGCTTCGACCCACTTTGTGAAATAATCGATGGCAACCAAGATGAATTAGTGCCTATTTGAATCTTTCAACTTAATTTGCCCAATAACATCCATGCCCCAGGCTACGAACGACCAAGGTGCTGACATAGGATGTAACCCTGAAGGCGGTGCATGAATTAGGTCACCGTGTATCTGCCACTGATGGCATTTTAAAATGAAACTAAAACAATCTTTTTCCATGGTCATCTAGTAATAACCTTCCCAGAGGATTTTCTTTGCAAGGACATACTCATTCATATGAGGCCCATGCAGTCTCGAACGCACTTCGTTAATGATCTTTTTAGCTTCTCGGGAATCTACGCACCCCAAAAGGTTTAGATCTGGAGTTCTTTTGTATACGACCTCTCCACTCAAAAAGAAACTACTTGCAAGACTTCTGATAGTTCTCTTATGATCCCCGCCAACCTGCTCGGGATATTCTTTTATTTTCAAGAATCTTTTGATATCGCGATACCATGGTTGGACATCTGGCTCTATTTCAATTGCGTTATTCCTTTCTCGAACCTGGATTTCGACATGAACACTACCTGTGTATGGCAGCATTGAGGCCAAAGTAGCTAGTGCATTAGCTAACTTATTGTGGAATCGAAAAATATACTTGAACTCGATGGACTTGAGCCGTTTGCTGAGATCTTCCACATGTTTCATGAACGAGATGAGTTTTCTGTCTCGAGTTTCCAACTTACCTTGGGCTTAACGAATGATAAATCAATATCCCCCATGATTAATAATTCCTTTACATCCAGATCAATAGCCATATTCATGCCCATAATGAAGGCTTCATATTCGGCGATGTTTTTTATACAGAAAAATCGGAGATGGGCTGTGGCCAGATAGTGACCTGTGGGAGAAATCAGAATTTCCCCAATCGCCATGCCTTTTGCATTTACGGCCCCATCGAAGAACATTTTCTAGGAATTGATGTTCTCTAGGATCATTTTAACCAAGTTTACTTCCTCGTCCAGAAAGTAAGTGCTTAGGGGTTGGTATTCATCATCGACCAGGTTCTCAGCTAGATGATCCGCCAGGGCTCTGGCTTTAATAGTCGTACGAGTGACATAGACAATATCAAACTTAGTGAGCAGGATCTGCCATTTTGCTAACTTTTCCGTGGGCATCGGCTTCTGGAATATATACTTCTAAAGATCCATCTTGGTTATGAGTTCTGCCGTGTAGGCCAGCAAGTAATGTCTGAGCTTCTAGGCAACTCAAGTTAGGGCACAACAAGTTCTTTCCAACAAAGTATACTTGGCTTCATAACTGGTGAACTTCTTTCTCAGATAATATATGGCTTGCTCTCTC